CGATGGAAGGGAGATTACTCTAAATCTGTTTTTCTTGTCAGCAAAATCTAGCTTCAGCTTCATTCAAACAATTCAAAATTAACATTAAGGTGTTCGGTAAGATAAATACGTTGTTCACTGGTCACGAGGGGGGCATGGATTGATGTACCCTCGATGTTTTTCCTGAGCCCTTCAGGCGAGGGGAACAAACAAACATCGAGGGTACATCAACCCATGCCCCCCTCGTGACCAGTGAATAACTTATATTGTAGCCATCGCTAGATTTTGCTGACAAGAATAACAGATGGAGGTACTTTTCAGTGAGGCATCTGATATGGCGAGCAAATACGACATTATTCCTACTAATCCAAGATGTGTGAGCCGTCAAACGATGCGCGACAATGCCCATGCATCCAGACCTTAAGTCTACTGGAAGAGGAATCTGTTTTACCCTTTGCTGGATCATATGGCTCAGCAATTAGAGGATAGGCTTATCTGTCCCAATGGCCGATTCGAAGCTCAGTATTTTGTACCTGCTTCAGTCCATAATATGACCGAGAAAATGGGTATAGTAGGCGAATATTCGCACAGTTCACTGAGCTGAAAGAGAACTCACATGAGCAACAAACGGTAGAAATCAGGCAATGGCAATTACGATGGCAAGATGTTCCAGCAGAGGAGAAACCATCGTGTTTGTTGGCAAAACTGGACTTCGCAAAAGAAGATCTTTATCCAAATATCCGTGTTGCCCTCAAAACACGTGTGACAGTGCCAGTGTCTTTGGCAACTTCTGAGCGTTCCTTCAGCACAATGGGCGCGTCAACAATGGCAACGGAACAGCTTAATGCACTTGCACCACTTCATATTCACAGGGATTTTGATGTCTACTTTAATAAGGTAGTGGAAAACCTGCACAATGGCACTTCTCTTCAAGTAGAGTTGATGCATACAGTAACTGATGCTAGCAGATCTGTTTCTGACTGATTCAAACAATTTCATAGATGATTTAGCTCTTCTTGTTCTTGTTCCCTTTACAACGTTCATGTATTTCTGAGAGTTCAAGTTTTATTGTTTTGTGGTTTATTATTTGAAATAATAATAATAATAAATATACACTTGTATATCGCTTGTTTCCAGTATAATCAACTGCTCTAAAGCGCTTGTGAGCAATGAACTGTCATGGGAATACACAGTCTAACAGTAGCAGACTTTAAACAAATGTGTTTTAAGTAGTGATTTGAATGATTCAAACTCAGGGGCACTTCTTATTTCAAGTGGGAGGGAATTACATGTCTGGGGTGCTGAGATTTCGAAACTTCTCTCGCCAAATGATGTACGAGCTGACGGAAGCTTCAACAGACACTGGTTATAGGAACGTAGAGTTCTCTCAGGTTTGTATTTTTGGATGAGTTCAGAAATGTACGGAGGAGCATAGCGGTGGATAGCACGGAATGTCAGAGTCAGCACTTTAAACTTGATTCTGTCCTGAACTTTGAGGGAGTGGAGATATTATTGCACCTCACAATCTGTTTATTCATTCACAACATTATATTATTACTGTGTATTGTCGACCTATATTTCCTCTTAGGTCAGGGTTTTACCTCAAATCAGAAACATGGGGTCCCCAGGACCCCCAATTATAAGTTTTAAGGGTCCTTGTAGGCAATTTGAGAGTCCTGTGAAGTAACAGTGTACCTTTTGATAATTTCTTTAGAAAATGGAATGAATCATCGATCATGTGGACTGATGGATGAAATGATGCATGTAACTGCTCTGAAAGGAACAACAAAACACTTAGCAAAGTTATTGATATGTTGTGGGTACCATGAAAAAAACAGAGAAGGCTATTGTTAAGACTGTCAAATCATGGAACAGAGAATCTATTGAAACCCTACAAGGTTGTTTTGCGTGTACGAGCTCAATTTAGTGAAGCCGTACAGGATAGTGAAAGTCGTATCCATATATCAGAAGCTGACGTCATTCAAAGCGTCTCCAGAATTAACATCAGAAAAGCAAAAGGACCTGACAACCTTGACGGCATTGTGTTGAAGGAGTGCAGACTTGTTTCAATTCTCAGTGAATACACACGTTATTCCTTCGGTCTGGAAAACATCAGAAATTGTACCAGTTCCTAAAAAGACACAACCTAAAGAACTCAACGACTACAGGCCAGTTGCTCTCACATCTATAGCAATGAAGTCGCTGGAACGCATCTTGTTGAGACATCTCCGTCAGGAAGTTGCCGACATACTGAACCGCTTCAGTTCGCCTACAGGTCAAGGAGAGGAGTTGTTGATGCCACACTGTCACTCCTTAATAATGTCTATAAGCATCTAGAGACACCTAAGTCATACATCAGGATCCTCTTCGTTGGCTTTTCATCTGCGTTCAACACTATCCAGCCACATATCATGATACAGAAACTGTTAGACATGGGCGTTAACTCATACTTCATCAAGTGGATCGAAAACTTTCTTGTGGAGAGACAGCAGTACGTGAAAGTTAACGGGGCTGTATCGAGTAAATGGACCACCAACACTGGTGCACCACAAGGCTGTGTAACATCTCCTGTTCTTTTCACCCTCTACACTAATGATTGTGCAAGCTCGAATTCAACCTGTTCAACTGTAAAGTTCGCAGATGATGCAGCAATTGTCGGCAAACTGAACGACACTGATTCTGAAGAACTGTATAAAGAGGACATTAATCATTTTACGACTTGGTGTGCAGAAAATCACTTACTCTTAAATGTCACAAAAACAAAGGAACTGGTAATTGACTTTCGGAGTAAACCCACAGAAATGCTTCCAGTGATAATCAACGGTGAATGTGTTGAGACAGTGTCGGAGTATAAGTATCTGGGAACCTTCATTGACTCTAAGCTGAACTGGAACTCTAACACTGAAGCCCTATACAAAAAGTGTCAACAACGTCGTCATTTCATGCCTAAACTGAGATCTTTTGATGTTAACCCATCTGTGATGTCATCTTTTTATGTAGCATTTATTCAGAGTATTTTAACATTTTCCTTCCATTGTTGGTACGGGTCTCTCTCAGTTCATCTCAAATCTAAAATAGACAAAATTGTTAACACTGCAAGTAAAATCGCTGGAGTCAGATTTGAATGTTTATCATCAATATATGAGCGGCAAATCGCGAATCAAGCTGTCAAAATCATATCTGACCGTACTCACTACTTAAATCGGAATACAACCTCCTCCCTTCAGGCCGCCGCTACAAAAGTTCCAATTGTGAAAACTAAGAGAGCCCGTACATCCTTTATTCCAAGTACCATATCTCTCTTAAACAAATGTGAAGATACCTAAATCAAAGAATTTATGTAAATATGTTTGGTATCTCTCTAATGTGTCAGTAGCTCTGCTGATGTAACACAAATTCCTGAGAAGGCATTAAAGTATTATTCTATTCTATTCTATGAATGATATTATGCGTCCCTCAGGACAGTGACTTTTTTCTGCGTCCATTCTCTACATTTGTGTGTACGGGACGCACAATCGCGCGTTGCATAAATCCCTGGAGGTATTTTGGACCAAATTGCTGCCCATATCAGTGGACAACTTATGTTAATAATACGCTTAGAACACATGGATTGTTTGTACAATATTGAGTAAAATTACTTGCTAGACCATCCAAGTTTCACTTCTGTTGTATTGACAAGGAGTTGAGCAAGTTGAGCCCCACGATGTTAATATTATGCGTCCCTCTGGACACAGTGATTTTTTTTTCTGCGTCCATTCTCTATATTTGTGTGTACTGGATACAAAATTGCGCGTCGCATAGCAACCCTGGAGCGAGGGAGGGAGTAAGTATAATAATAATAATAATAAATGTGAACTTATAATGCGCCTTTTCAATGCACAAGGCCCATGCTCAAAGCGCTAACAAAGTGAGTGGATAATATACATATATACAATAAGGGACTAGTTGCTAGTCATAATGCAGTGAAAACAGATGAGTCTTGAGAAGTCGTTTGAAGGAATAAAAGTCAACTGCTGATTTAATGGTGATAGGGAGAGAGTTCCAGAGTAGAGGGGCAGAGCAGACAAAGGATTTCCTTCCAAAAGTTTGCAGTTTGAACCGAGGCACAGAGAGTAGGTTCAGATTCTGAGAACGGAGCTGTCTTTCTGGAGTGTACGGGGTAAGAAGTTCTTTAAAGTATTCTGGGCCTATGCCATTGAGGCATTTGTAGACAAAACACAATATTTTAAAGTCAATTCTTGATTTAACAGGCAGCCAGTGGAGGTTTTTTCATGACAGGTGTTATGTGTGAGCGCTTTGAAGTTCTGCTTATGATTCGGGAGTATGGTTTTACGCCTAGGTTATTAATATTTCAGTAACATCACGGCGGGGTACGCCAGAAATGGGATGGTACAATCCAAATCATTCGTAACTACTCGCCTCTTTCCGTGACCTACAAGAAGACGGGAACCAAAACCAAAACATCAGCCTGGTTGATTACGAATTTGTTCATTTGTGTGAGTAAGTCGGTAAATAAGGACGAATAGATTTGGCCTACTCATCCATGTTACTATAAACACCGCGTCAAATAACGTACTTTCGCCACTCTCGCGATCTCCCTCCTCAATTTTGCAGGAGGGCCCTCTTGACAATCGAGCGAACGCTCGGGCCGTTCGATTAGGTAATTCATCGCACGTGCGAGATACTTTGTGCAAAACGAACGCACCCATGTGGTGCAATCCGAATCATTCGAAACTACCCGCCTCTTTCCGTGACCTACAAGAAGACGGGCTTGCCGGAATGACACGAGTAGCTACGAATGAATCCGAATGTCATAAATCAACTAAGGGAAGCTACTCTGTTCTACAGTCAACATCAATCGTAAGCTGGGCCCCGTCTCGCATATCGCAATAAATGGCAGCCTATACCGGCTCCTAGCTTTGTCGAATCTTAGCGCGCACAAAGGGAGCCAGCTTACATCAATCGTGACCAACTCGTGTTGTTCCGGGACAAGCCGGTTACGGAAAGGAGCGCGTGGTGCTGGTTCCCTGGGTCTGTTGCGGAACCAGGCTGCGCGTGACGAACGGCATCAACAAGAATGGCTAAACATCCGGGCCTGGTAGACGAGTTGAATATGGAATAGATGCCAAGAGTGTGTCATTGCTGGTGCATTAATGATACAGACGCTCACGTAATACACCACACAGGTATATTTTATCTACATTACCTTGATGTTAATATTGATAAACATTCAGAAACAATTCATGACTTCTTTGCTAACAGTAACAACCACAACACGATTTACAGGTCATCGCATCGGTTCACAGTCTCATTGTGTTTCCGGGCCGGTCAAAATTGAGCGTTTGAGTCGGGAATTTCATAAGGCAAACGCTGTTGGTTGGTTGGTTTGTTGTTTAATGCTGCACTCAGTAATATTTCAGCTACATGGCGGCTGTCTGTAAATAACCGAGTCTGGACCAGACAATCTAGTGATCAACAGCATCAGCATCGATCTGCGCAATTGGGATACGACGATGTGTCAAACAAGGGATCGAGCCTGACCACCCGACCACATTAGTGGCTTAAGATAAACATGGGTTGCTGAAGACCAATTATATCCTGGAGTGGCGGTGGGGTAGCCTAGTGGTTAAAACGTTAGCTCATCACCCAGCAGGCACGAGTTCGATTCCCCACATGGGTACTGTGGTTGGTTGATAAGCTGTAAATTAAAACAAGGGCAAGTAATTTGTGATTTTGCAAAACTTAGGAATGGATCTAGATGTTTGTGTAGGTTTACTGAAATGAGTTCCGAGGAGATATAGAAGATGGAAGAAGGGAGAGGGGTTTGATGAATGAATGTTGCATTCTCCTGTAGTCAGTACTGTTCATTGTATATTAAGGTGATTTTTGTGTAATCGTCTATGAGTAATGATCCTCACCACTGTGGTAAGAGGTTAAAACAGCAGTCACATTGGTCAGATCTGACTCATTGAAGCTGAAATAGAAATGCAATTAACTTTCACTTGAAAGCCGTGGTCCTGAATGTTATGGATATGTAACTTTGTAAGTAATATTTTGTCATTCTTTCAGGGCAAACCAAGTATTTTAATGTTTTATGGACAGACCTGCACTAACAAAGACTTTTTAGCTCCTTTGACAAAGCATATATTGCATATTTTGTTTTCTCCATTTCTCAGCTGTTTCTGTGCATTTTATAAAATCTGATATGGAGGAATTATGTGTGGTATGTAGTTTAACAATATTCATGTTTAGCCATTTTTTTTATATGTTTTCAAGCTCTTGACCTTCACATATGCCATAATTTCTAGTGTTGATGCATTTTTGACACCTCAGAAACCACATGGCCTATGAACCTGAAACTTGTTATGAATTTTTACAGCTTTGGTGTCTCTGCTATTTGCCCACGGAATTCTAGTTACAACACGAACATGGTCACCATTATTTTTTCATTATTCAATTCAGATATAGAGCCACAAACTGTGACTCTGTTTTTTAACATCTTTTGGTGTATTTCTGAACACTAAATTCCAAAGAAATTTGTCTGGTCTCCTGGAATATTTGCAAGATTGAAATCTGACCAAAAATTCATGAATGATACTGTGGTATGATATGGCTTCAGGATGGATGAAACTGACATGGAAATTCTCTTTGATGGCAAGCATGGTCTCAGTCTGAAACAAGGTCTTAATAGGCTGTACAAGGACAAGGCTCTGTGTGATGTGACCTTGACCTCCAGTGATGGCGTGGACATTCAAGCTCATTGGCTGGTTCTGGCAGCACATTCAGATTTTCTTCAGCATCTGGCAGTCAACAGGAATGTGGTGCTGTCAGACACAGGCAGCCTGAAACTAAGTAAGCTGTCACTGTTCTCTGCAAATTATTTCCTATATGATGTTGTGTAGGGCTAAAGTATGTATTATGCTCAGCCTGGTTCCCTGGGTCTGTTGCGCCTGCGCTGACGCTCCGACACTGACCCAGGCAACCCCTGCCGAATGGCGGCCTTCGCTGCAGGGAGACGCGACATACATTTGCTATAGAAAAATCCGGGAACGGGTGGTTAGAATTTTTTCATAGCATTTTCATCAATACTATGGCAAAGTATACGTCACCAGAACAACGGCCATCATTACTTTCAGTGTACGAAAACGTTATTTAAGCAGTATCGAGACAGGAAAATCGTTGTTACATGGGCGATATGTAAACAATGACACAACCATTATTTTCATCACCGACATGTGCTTTGATATTTCGTGTCAGCTCGCTATTGCCACGAAACTCTACACATAAAACATGGAAATGAACGACCACACTGATTGAATATAGTTAGCATCTTCATTTTAGCAAAGTTGATGACGAAAATATCGCCGATTATGTCCAGTGTCTTCCATCGTTCCATCAAAGTTGTCTTGTCTGTCTGTCAAAGTTTTCAGATAAAAGATGTTGGTTGGTTTATTGTTTATGGCTGCACTCGGCTCTATTCAAGCTATATAGCGGTGTCTGGACCAGGCAGTCCAGAGATCAACAGCATAAGCATTGATCGATAAAAAATGTTACAGGGTGGGATTGTACATATAATTGTTAAAGATACATACATAATTCTTATGGCTGAGTATTGCTCACATACAAGCAATACATGCATATGAAACTCATCTTCAACAAAAGATCTTCCCCTTAATATACAATATTTACAGTCATTTAGTGTATAGGACATTTGTGTATCTTCCAAAATTGACTGGAATTTTAAACCTATTACATCTGAAAATAACCATGGACAGTCTTAAGTGTACAGGGATAGGGAGTGTAAGATTCTTTCCCATATTTAACAGTGATTTAAAATGTTGTTAATAGAAGGAATCAGACAAACTGTTGATAGAACTACACCATGTTTGTTGTAGGTTGTAAAATGATCTTTGTTGCAAAAGGTGAATGAATATCTTCACATCTTGTGCTAACCACACATATTCAAATTCAAATCTAAACAGAATATTTTTAATGTGAGGAGCCCATGTGGTAAGGCATTGGTGAGACAGTTTGTGTTCATCCAAATACAGTAGCCTGCACCAATAACTTATAGCCCTTGTGGTGTGCACAAGTTGGAGAGGGGTTCTGCCACATTCTCCCCAAACCATAGCATTGTTTGCTGTTTTGAGAAACCATTTACACATTTTATGCTGTACATCTTCAATAATTTTACAATATGAGGTCCCCCTACACTTCTGCACACTTACAGTTACACAGCATAGGAACAATCATAGCATTAAATATCATAATTAATCTTGACATGGTTTATTTTCAACTTTCTTTTGACATCTGTACAATGCCATAACATCCTTTTTACTGTATGCACCAAGAGTAGTTAGTGCTTTAGTCCAAGTAAGTTAAAGTGTTAACATAATACCAAATATCTATATAAAGATACAATTTCAAGATACACACCATAAAATTAGGATTTTTTAGAAATAAAATCACAATAGTGAACTGGTCAACAAGTACAGAGCAAATTACCCAAAATTCAAAAGCAAAGAGTCCATAGCAGCATTTAACCAAACTAGATAACTGATATCTGACTGAATAATTGCTGATATCAGATGTATTCTAATAACACCAGGGTTATCACAATCAAAATAATCAATGTACAGCAAATGCATACTCATGACAGGTTTCATTGGTAAAAATCACCCTTAATTCAACAGTTCACAAATATTGGAATGTTCATCTGTCTAAAAAGTTCTTCTTCCCATATATGTTATACCAATGTATTCACATACTGATCATACCATGTATTTTTATATATTCAGTTCAGTAATATAAAGTACCAAATTCATTGTTTTTAGCTGTATATGTGTGTGTATTTTTGTATATAGATATTTGATTCACCATGTTTATTATAATCATTTTTGAATGATATTGGTATATATGTTAACTGTTTCATGTTGTTTTGTAGAGGCTAAATATCAGAATGACAAACCCTGTCATTAACATCATTCATATGGATTTAACCGCTTTACCTTGTAGTTTCACAAGGCGATCGAAAAATATATCCACTAAACTTACCCTGAAGCGATGGAAGACACGGGACATAATCGGCGATATTTTCGTCATCAACTTTGCTAAAATGAAGATGCTAACTATATTCAATCAGTGTGGTCGTTCATTTCCATGTTTTATGTGTAGAGTTTCGTGGCAATAGCGAGCTGACACGAAATATCAAAGCACATGTCGGTGATGAAAATAATGGGTGTGTCATTGTTTACGTATCGCTCATGTAACGACGATGTTCATGTCTCAAAACTGCTTAAAGGTCACATGCAACCAAAAAATCAAACATAATTAAAACACAATTATCACTTATTCATGACATATAATATACATTGCTGGTAATGAAAAAACATATAAACAAAATTATAAGCGTACAATCGCAAATCAAAAGTGCAAAATTGTGTACTTCGGTTTACTTCCCAAGAAACGAAGCAGCCGGGACACCGAACCCAGTCAGAGCGGGTGGGTGTGCACTCAAGTGTAACGGCCGGTTCATTTGCAGATGCCTTCACGGCTCATTGTGTGTGTATATATAGAGATGTTGGGTTTTGTAAATACATGCTCATTTTTTGTGTATAACATTTTGCAATCAACAGACATCATAACATGTCATGTGTTCAAGTATCACACCTGCCTGTCTGTGTAATTACATAATGTGACAGAGACCGAACTCGGGCCATAAATCAATGCATTTTGTTTATGGTGTATAGCCTGATTGGTGTTAAGTTCAAATTGCATGTGGTCAGTCATAGCAGCTGTGTATTGAATATTGTCATCAGCAGACAGGCAGGCAGACACACAGGTGTCAATAAAACAAGACATTGAGTTTTGTCTGTGACAACGACATATCTATATCACAGTTAGAAATTCTGTACAACGCTAAATAATGACATTGCTTTTTAGTATCGAACTGAGAAAGTGACTCGGTAAGAAGAACGTGTGGTGAAATAGACAAATGAAATTATATAAACAGTTAATTTACTATCATAACATATAAAAAGCTCGCGCCTGTGAGATATCAACAAAACATTAGAAAAATAGCTGACACCAAAGCCTTCACCGAGTATTCACCCGACAACCCGCTTCCAAGCTGCGCGAACCTATTTCACTGCGCACGTGCTATGAGCGCAGCCCAGCTGTTGAAACCCGTTTTCCCCAGAAAAGTCTGGGGAAAATTAGTGAAACGTTTGAACTCCGATTTTGCGCCTTTTTTTTCATCGCGTTATTTTTTAACTTTATAAGTTGAATTTGCATTTTTGACGATTTGTTTTGGTAAGTCCATACCGAAAGGTATCAGAATCTGCAAAGTTGTGTTTTACGTTGCATGTGACCTTTAAATAACCTTTTCTGTACACTGAAAGTAAAGATGGCCGTTGTTCTGGTGACGTATACTTTGCCATAGTATTGATGAAAATGCTATGAAAAAATTCTAACCACCCGTTCCCAGATTTTTCTATAGCAAATGTATGTCGCGTCGCTTTATGTTTGAATATGGCCTTTGGTGTTAGCCACATGATTGATTCCTGACAATTCAAATACCATTTATAATGGCAATTTCTTGGTTTAACAACATGATTCTGCAGTTCAAGACAGGTAGCAAGGTTAAACTTTATTCAAATATACTCAGACATATTACAGTGCCAAATTAGGCAATTATTCCCTGGAGTATGCTTCTGTATTCAGATATATGTTACCTGTTTGTGGAGTATATTCATGATATTAGTTTAAACTATAGTGATTCATATTAGGTATAGTGATACTGCTGTTGAATTTCAATACATCAGTGTACACTTTTCTTAAGTGTTGATGCTGCAGATGTAAAGCAACTGTCCCTATACATCAACATATTGTCAAACATTCTTATATGATTTAATAATGATGCTATTCTAGGCATTCATTAGTGACACACAAGTCAATTTAATTGTAATCTCCCAAAATAACGAATTGCTGCAAAGATAATGCATAACATTGAGCATGAATGCCAAGGGGACCTTGTCATATTTCTATTGTTAAAAGGTAAAGACTTGATGGGGTCTTATATAAATACAGTACAATAGGACTGCAGAAGCCCCTTAATTTCAAGCACTACATAACCCTAGTACTACATCAGGTTTGTCACAGATGCAGTTTTCAGTGTGTGAATGAAAGAACTGACATGTTTAAACAAACATGGGTATTCTTAATCTATGAGTACAGTAATTATGGTTTCAGATATAGAGTCGGAGATACTGAAGATGATGCTGAACTATCTCTACACTGGGGAGCTTGTGGTCACCAAGGACACTCTGCACAAGATAAAGATGGCCGCCAAGGTATTACAGCTGTCCAAAGCTCTTGCCTTGCTGGAGCAGTCTCACTTGTCAGGCTTGGGTGATCAGAGCTTTGAAGCTGAGTCCAAAATACTGCAGCCAACTGCATCACTTCAGGCACCTGATCTTGAACAACAGCAGCTCCAGAGTCCAGACGACCAGGGGTTTGCTGTTATGGGAACATTAACACAGTCGCCCGCATCATATGGTCAGGTTCAGTCAATGCAGTCACCTGCACCATTTGTCCAAGTGCAGTCAACTGCCTCACCCATGTTATATTCCCAGGGTTATCTCCAAAGCCAACACTATGACAATGATTCCCATAGAATGCAGCAACCTGCAACAGTGTTGAAGGAGGAAGCATCACCTTTACTACCTACCATTTTATCTGTGGAATCTATTAGTGACAGTCAAACAGCATTTAGCTCCCCATCATTCAGTAATGCATATCTAGACCAAAGACCTCACACCAAGGACAGTTCTCATGAACATGAATCTGGTGAGCCAGGTAGAAGGAGAAGTGAGCCCACTAGGCAGCTCTTGGATGAAGGTCAGATAGTAGCTGGGAAGAGACCAGGTGGAGATAGGAATGCACGGTGCTTATTTATGTCTGATGGAAAAGACCAAGCTGTCATTCAAACAAAAAGAGGAAGACCAAAAAAAAAATTTAATGTGAACATTCCCATCTTTCAATGTTCCTCAGCAAAGTTTGTGACTCTTAGTACAAGAAAAAATATGTCTGCAACAAAAAAAAAGATGAATCAAAATAAATCATCTGGTTCTGTTGTGTTAGAAGCCGTGAAACCTTATCTCTGCCAAAAAAGATCATTGAATGAACATAAAGAAGGGGAATCTTCACATAAGAGTGCAGAAGTTGCAGCAGAACATATGACAGCACAAAATAAATGTAGTTCTACACGAGACAGTGTTGAAGTAGACCTAGGGCTCGTGAAGACCGAACAGTTTGATGGCCTGGATTATGCCATATATGAGAATCCTGACACCTCTGATACTGATTCCTGTGGAAACTCTTTATCTCACTGTGCTCAAGACAAAGCTAGAAATTGTAGAGCCAGAAAAATCATCACCTCAAAACTTCAGAAACATTCATCATCTATGTCATATTACAGATTCACAAGTGTATTAAGGAGTAAATATTTACTTTCTCAATATGTCCAAAACATGTGTATTTGGAAGACAGAAATGTCACCATTTCGCTGCAAGGTGTGTAAGAGAGGGTTCAAGCACCTCAGTTCATTGAAATATCACTGTTTGTCAACACACTTATCAAAAGTCAGAAGATTGAAAAGAAATCTTCCAACAGAGGCTCTAAACGCAACTCAACCAACAATTACTGAAGGTTCTGGCCAGGTGGGAGAGTGGAGGATGTCAAGAAGGATCTCAACACAACAAGATCACACAGCTAACATAGTAAGTTGATTATTTTATTGGAAATAGGATTACTGACTATTATGGTTCTACACGATACATTGATTGCTTTCTTCACTGTGCCATGATGGTCATCTTCTGCTATCTTTGAGTAATAGTTTAGAAGGTAAAGCTACTCTGTTTTCAAGTTTGCAGTCCTTTATCGTTGATTTAAGACTGCTAAATGTAATTTAAAAACCGAACATGTTAGCGGGGGGGTTCTAAATTGAACATTTAGCGGTCTTAAATCAACGATAAAGGACCGCAAAATTGAAAACAGAGTAGCTTTATTTTCATTCTAGCACAACTGATAAGCGTTTCAAAACCGGACTCTTTGGCAGGAACCAATATGCTTGTATTTGTAACAAATAGCATATATAGATTACAAAAATACTCTTTATACTGTGTGCAAGTACAGTTATTTGATTTTTCTCAAAGCGAATTACTAATCTCCCCAACTGTATGACAATCGACTCCCCCAATTCAAGCAGTGAACTTGTTAATTCGCTGCTAACTTTATTCACGGAAGTAACTATTGGTAACCTAACAAAAGTGTCAACGAGTTCATTGTATTCATATGCAGTCAATCGGTCACTTTTGATGAGCTCTCAGCCAATCAGAATCGAGCATCACACAATGTTATGCTAAAATTTATGTTTAGTTTAAAGTACATGCCATAACTACCACTTGTATAGCTGAAACACAGAATGTGGTGAAGGCAATCGATACATTTTAGGATGTGACAACTTCAGCTTGTTCGGAAAGCTTCCTTGTGATTGTGCTGGTAACTGAAGTGGTAACTGCTGGTCACACTACAGTTATTGTAGTGTCTGTTATCATTGTAATCCTGGTTGCTTTTGGTTAATAGATTGACAACAGAAAGTTATGTGACCTGAGCTGTAAGTTATAATCAAGGTTTTTTTGGTTGAAGCAATTTCTTAAATATATTGTCTTGCCCAGAATTTAACAGTGATCACTGCATTGTCAATTAATTGACATAACTGTTTGGAAGGTTTTGTAAAAGTGGGCAGCATTTTGGTCATGTTTTACAAAATTAGGATTTTGAGTAGTGATTCAAGAGCAGAACTGGTTCCCAGTAAATCATGTTTGTTGAAAGAGGTGAGTGAACAGATCAAGCAATTGTACCCTAACAACTGGGATGTTTCTTACACCAAGTCCAAGCCTGCACCCAAGTAATTCCCATAACTACAGGCATCTGTGGCTGGAATTTGTAACAAAATGTCCTTTACTGGCTGGCGAACAGTTATCACGATCACCTGGCTGTGGCACTTATGCAGGCAGCTTTTTGTACTTCCATATTCTTCTTCACAGAGATCTTCCTTGGGGTACATATATGCATTTTCTGCGACTGAAAATGTCATGTGACAGTTGTAACAATGTTTTAATAAATATTGTACAATGAATAAATCATCTTTCCTTCTGCTGTCATGCTATGTGCCACACGTGCTGTGCAAGACTGACTTGAGATAATGTCTCAGACATTGAATACTGTATGTATTTTGTCCTTATTACGTTCTAAAGGAACGCTTTGTTGACTTTTGCAGTTATGCATATTTTATTTATTGTGACATATAAATTGCGTTTCCTTGGTGGGAAACTTGCGTTGGTTCACGTTACTTGAAACTTGCTTATTTAAAACAATGTTTCATATTGCATCCTCTTTCACGTATTTTCAATGTTTTATGCATGCTTGTTGTGTTGTGTATAGTTGACTGTCTGCTGTTAACGTCATGCTTTGCATGTTTGCTTTCAGTCGTTTACGACATGTGATGCATGTAGTAAGAGACAAGCGGTGGATTTCCTCTTCTTTAAAGAACTTAGAGAGGCAGGGGTGATCCTATGGAGGAGGTTCCGCCCTCTAAGGCTAAAAAAGGCTAAAAACCTAAAAGCTCTAAATCGTCTTCTTCAGTTTCTAGTCCTCAGCCTTCATTTGATATGTCAATAATTCATCAACTTTACCAGCAACACATGGACTCAATGACATCTCTCCTGCATGAATCGGTTGACTGTCTCGGCAGGAGTTCCTCATTGGTTCGGCAGGTGGTTCGGAGAGATTGTGTGTGGGGTCGCCGGGCTCAGCTCAATCCCTTAGCCTGGAGGTGGCTGTTGTTCCAATGCCTTGGGCGGTGGGTCCAGTTGCCTCTGCTCCGGTGGAGAGGGAGGGTTCGCGGTTCGTGCCCAGTCCCTCTCACTTTCTTGGCTCTTTTTCCGCTTAGTATCCCAGGTGTTCCAGATGCTTCGACCACTCGAGTGCAAGCGCACTTGAGCTTGGATGCCACTGTTCTGTGGTGCATCCTCCCAAGTCTCGTGACCAGGGTTTTCTTACGCGCGCAGCTTCCGGATTGAAGAGCCTTCTGGGTTCACTTTTTCCTCTCGTGTCCTCAGGTCAGTCTTCGATTGGGTCTTTTGTTGGGTCCTCTCTTGGGGAGAATCATGACTCAGGCTCGGGTTTGGAGCTGTTTGTGGTTGTCGACGTCTTGGTACTCGGCCTCTGTTTCGGCTGGGTGCGATGTTGTTTCGGGGCTCAGCAGGTTATATAAGAGGCCGCGGCAGCGGCGATTTCATTCAAAGACTCTGAGGCTTTGTTGGAACACCCACACCCGGAGGCAGCAAGTTCTTCCTCCGAGTGGAGCCTGCACCAGAGTCTCCTGGCTGGCTTCAGCCGTTAGATAGGGGTAGGATAAGAGTCACCCCACCAAAGGTAGAGCTGAAGGGAAGAGTGGTGCTGGTACTCAGCAGCCTTTTCGCAGCAGCGTTAGCTTGCAGGATGCTCAGTCGGGTCCATCCCTGCCAGTCACTTGGCAAGGGACCACCCACGTGATTCTACCCGATGTCCCTGTTGGGTGCTGTCCACCGTCAGTATAGGTCACTTACCACAGTGGATCACCGGTATCAGACACACTCCAGTGCCATCCTGTCCTGTCAAAGCGGGTATTCTGTGGGACGAAGCCTGACCACAGTTATCAAATGTGAAATTTACAGCATTTACTTTTATTTCAAAAGTAATATTCCTATATAAGAAATCACATTTCAAACATGAGTAACTATTCCTTAGATATTAAAGATCTATCAAACAAAATGTTACCAGTTATTTTGTTGGAACGAATTGTGAATAACACTGATTAAAAAATGCACTTTTTGTCTGATTTCTGTTCACATGCACGTTTGTCTAAAGTAATAATTTAAAACGATTATGAAAAGTTTCTCTCTAATATTAAAATAATGTCAAAACTGGACATGTTCTACAATGTGTTTTCCTTTCACTAAGACATATGCACATATATCATTTCATATCATCCATTCAGTTACGATTCGACAATTACAAACAAATTAATTGAGGTGAATAAACCGTCTATAAAAGTAGCTTATATCAGTCAATATGCTCCTGGAGTAAAATACCGTACTCTAGGAGTAATATACTTTTACTTTACCTCCGGAGCAGGTGTAAATTTACTCCAGGAGAATAAATATCTACGTGAGTAAATTCGTTTTGTGACGTTTACATGGTTTACGTACCATAAGTAAATTTACTTACATAAGCAAATATACTCCTGTAAGTAAATGTGTGCATGTAAAAGCGGCTTTAGGCTTCAGCTGATTTTGGTGGTAGTGCTCCTTTCCGGAGCAGATCTTAAAAACTTTTCAATACTCTCCTTCCACTTTGTTATATACACTCCAAAACATTTGACAGAATCATAAGTAGTGGACATATTCATAAAGAGTAATTTTTAAACTTATCCTATCTCACAACTTGCACCTCTCTCTCTTGCTTCGACTTTTAGTGGAACGACTGTAAACTTTTTCCAATAGCCTCCTTGTCCATGCACTCCATGCACTCAATGCTGCTCTCCTTAATTAGGTTCCTAGTTCCTATTAAAGCTTGCAGCATGCTCCACTAATTGCCCACGTGACTACCTTGAATGATCATTCTCTTTCTTGTCGCACGACTGTGTGGACGTGCTGTATATTAGGGACATTATTTCACCCTAACATCATGGGGAAAACTGATAATCAGTCAAGGAAAGGAAAGTTTGTGCTCAATGCAAGACGAATTATTCGTCCCTCGACCCTCAATTGTCTGGCAGTGACTGTATTGGACAATGTAACTGAAACAAATGATGTGGCAAGTGTAATTCACTAAAAGATGAGGATTTTATGGCCTACCTTCGTGTTTGCTCCCGGAGAATCGCCGATAGGGACAGGAAATCAACAGAATCTGATACCACTCCCGCCAAGCGTATCAAGTTACAGCGACAGAAAATCATCGGTACATATCCCCTCGACTGTCTCAGTTTGTTTGGAGCCTGGCCAACCGCGTTCAACCAGCCAACTGTCTCCCCACAGTTCATTGAACCGGACGGAGCTGGCTACAACAGCGTCGCCAGGGGACGTTCATCATGAATCAACACTTCAAGTTTTGTCACCTAATCACCGATCCAGATCGCCACATCATTCTAGATCACCTTCACGATCCAGATCACCATCACAAGACCAATCTAGCGCACCGTGCCGATCAAGATCACCGGATCATTCCAGATCACAGTCACGATCCAGAGCACAACTACGATCGACATCAACTGATCAATCCAGATCACCTAACCGACCCAGATCACCAAACGGGTCCAGATCACAACTTCGAATCAGATCACTTTATAGATCCATATCACCTAGCCGATCCAGATCACAACATCAAAGTAGATCATTGGACCAAAACCAGATCACCTAATCGATCCAGATCACAACTTTGAATCAGATCACCGAATGGATCCAGATCACAACCTCGAATCAGATCACCGGACCGATCCAGATCACCGAACCGATACAGATCACAACATCAAAGTAGATCACCTAACCGATCCAGATCACCAAATCAAGCCAAATCAAGACCTGTTCGATCCAGATCACCTTATAGATCCAGATCACGATCACAGTTCCAGTTAGTGCATCGAATCGATCTAGATCACTTTACAAATCCAGATCAT